TTTTTTTTTTTTTTTTTTTTCTATTTTTGAAAAAAACACAAACCTCCATTAGAATTCTGATACCGATTGTACTTGGCAGATAGAGCACTTTGAGTAGAGCCAACTTCTTAATGACACTGTCCTTCTGTCCATGAACATGAGATACACTTTCATTTACCTTCGTTCATCTCCTTCAGCAATGTTTTACAGTTTTCTGTGTACTTAACCTTAACATAAGGTGCCCTCAAGTCCAGACTGGCACCTTCTCTCACCTCGTTCTCTCCCAGGTCAACTAGCTGTTATCCAGACTTTTTAGCCTTCCCTGTTTCAGTCCACCCTCTGCTTGAAAAGGGATCCCTGAAAATTGGAGTCAGCCCTTCCGCTGGGTCCCAGGGGCTGCCTCAGTCCGAGTGGCTTCCAGGCCTCCATGCTCGGTCGCTCCTCTAGTGTCCTTTATACCCGAGGTTCTCAGCCCCGGCTGAGTGTTGAGGCGGCCTGGGGAGCTTAGGTCCTGCTGCAGGTGAAGCACTGACTAATAAAAGCCCTGCTCCAGGTGCTGCTGGGAACTCTCCAGGCAAACACGGAGAGGAGCTCTCCTCTGGGCCTGCATGCTCCATTCCAGGCTCCGTGGATTTGTGGACCTCTGAAGCTGTATCTCTGATGTGCTCTGCAGTGCATCTTTCTTCCAGTGCTGAAAACCACCTGTGATTTCCCAAATGCAGCATTCTGTCTGTGGACATGCTACCTGGACGCCACCTCAACTCCTCAGGCACCTCATTCTGAGGTCACTCTTTCGACACCACCTACTCCCTCTCAGTGAGCTGGCCTTGCTCTGGGGAACAGCTCTGATTTCCCATCCCAGCCCCAGCACAATCCTGGCCCAGGGCAAACCATGAATGTCCCCTGTGGGCCACCATTCAACACTCCAGCTTCCCTTTCTCAGGGCATGGCTCTTGCTATTTCTGATCCCCTTTCCCCAGGTGCTGGTTCACACACCGAACTCCTTTATGTCCTGCAAAGCCCGATTCAAATATCATCTCTGGTTGGTCCCACCTTCAAGCACAGTTAATTCCTCTTTCCTCTGTGTCCCCAGCACTTTAGACAAGCCTTTATTACAGGGCATGTGGCACTGTGCTGTTTCCATCTGCCAGGCTGTTTCTCTAAGGAGACTGAATCCATCCAGGCCAAGGGGAAAGTATTCCCTTATTATTCTCTGCATCACACTGTGCCTGGGAGACAGCAGGTTCCAAGCGTGTCTGAATGATCAGTTCTCTACTAAGCATCCCTTGCCCAGCCGCTGGGGTGGGGGGCAGATCACCAGGAAGCGAGGCGGGTCGGGGAGGGGGATAAGATTTTAACAAGCATGCTCTTCTCTGGTTTCCAGTCATCATGGCCTCTAGCATCTGCTTAGTTCCACACTTGAAAGCCCATCCACAAATACTTGCTGCTTCTCACACGACAACCCTGGGAAGCACAAAGCTTTAGCACCAGGACCACAGTGACTCACAGCTGCAAGATGTCTGCACCATGGAGCCGTGGGCACTGTCGCTGCAGGTGTCCCCGCCAGGAGGGAGCTGCGCCAGGTCCCACGGTGCTATTACCACCCACAGTGAGCCTCGTTAAGTACCCGGTCAGGCTGACCGCATGGGCTGTTCCTTGGGCACTGCGCCCATGGCGTGTGCCTGCCTGGTGGAGCTGCCCAGCTGGGAAATTCTTGGCATCCTTGGCACGGGGGCAGCTTTGCTGCAAGGCTCCCCTGCCCCACACTCCATAACTCGAATGTGGGCTCTCAGCTCCCAGCACTCACCAAGAAAAGCTGCACACCTTGGGGGCCAGTGTGGGAGAACCACTCCCTGTCACTATGGCAACAGGGTCATTCGCTTTGGAATAAATGGCCCTGGCCTCACCGAGCAGCCAGCCATCAGGAAGGCCTCTGGCTCTTGGAGTTTCCTGTTCCCTGGTTTCTGAATTCAAAACTCCTACCCGAGCTTCCGGCTTCCCTCACTGCTGCTAAAGACGCGATCCTGCCAGGGACAGCCTCGGTGCTCTCATGTTGCAGGGCTGCACACCACAGATATCAGCCCTGGATCACATGTTCTGGGCATGATGATCGGATTCTTTGGGGAAAGTGAGTTTTCAGGACTTGGACAGATAAACTCACCTGCCAGGGAGACATCAGGA